ACTGTGGTCCTGTCACTGGGCACCACTGAGAAGAGCCTGGCTTTGTCTTCTTCACTGCCCTCCATCACGTGCTTACACAAAAGGCTAAGATCCTTCTGAGCTTCCCAGCTCTCTCAGCCTCTCTTTGTGTATCAGATGCTCCAAGCCCTTTCCTCATCTGGCCCTTTGCTGGACTCACTCCAGTAAGTCTGTATCTTGTACTGGGAAATGCAGCACTGGACCCAGCCCTCCAGCTGTGTCCCACTGGGGCCAAGTAGAGGGGAAGGCTCACCTCCCTTGATCTGCTGGCCATGCTCTGCCTGATGCAGCCCCAGGGGCTGTTGGCCTGCTTTGCCCTCAGGGCACACTGCTGGCTCATCCTCAGCTTGTCCCCCAGCTCCTTTGGGGAGCTGCTTCTGGTGCCTGGGGTTACTCCAGCCCGGTGCAGGACGTGGCATTTCCCTTTACAGACTGCAGGAGGTTCCTCCTGAGCCAGTTTCCTCATCCTGTCCCACTCCTCCGGGGTGGCTGTGCCCCCATCTGGTCTACCAGCCACTCCCCGCTCTCTATCATCACCTGCAAACCGGCAAGAGCCCACAGACACATCACATCACACCGGTCAAATTAGCCCATTCTTAAACTGAAAAATACTATTTTCCCACCCGTGGGAATGGACGTGCATCCACACAGCATGCGCTGGGATTATGCGTCTTCACTTTTACCTAGTGGTAAATACGGCTTCTATACAGGTCTCTCCAAGTTAAGGGGGGATTGAGATTTGGCCTTATTGAGGGAAAATGGTAACGTCAGAAACTGGGGAAGCAGACATCTAAAGCTCACAAAACAGCTAGGCAAAAGGCTTCCCCTTCACCTTAACTGCTGACTAGTTCATGCAGTTTTGGTTTTGTTTGTTTGTTGTTTTTTTTTTTAAAAAGTGCCCTGTAGTTTGCAAAAGAGAGAAGTCAGCATCAGTATAAAAGCAAAGTTAACAATCTATGACTTTTAACCTTAGTTACAAGAGTTGGGTGGCTGCCATGACAAAAACACAAATCAAAAATCCTGAGTCACAGCAACACTTGTCTAATTATTTTTTCATTTACTTTAGAAGTACTGAAACATCTCAATTTGTAAAAACAGAACTGTCTCCTGAAGCCACGTAGAAAAAAACCCCAACATAATACTGAAAAAACTCATACAAAAATATTTTGTTTCAAGCATGCTAAGCTGTTCTCCAGTTACACGGTTTTTATCTCGAAACACACCTTCATAAAAACATTTGGCAGAAACATTTTGTGAATGGATTTAAGAAAATAAAATGCCTGCCTTTGTTTACGGACAGCTGATCAGTGTTCCACAAAATGCCCAGGACCAACAAGTTGGAAATGCAAAATCCTGGCAAATGATTAACTATAAAAAGCCTAACTCTTCTTCCTTCCTATAAGAAAAATATTTGAAATAAGTAGAATTTGGCAAAGTTCCTCTGCCTCCAACATCACTTGTAAAAATCAAATGAACAGATTCCAGTCATGTTTACATATCATGTGAGTTTCCTTGGTACCATCTTACTCTGGTTTTGTACTTTTATGTAATATTACTTTGATTTACTGAAGGTAACACAACACAATGAAGTTGGAAGACACAACAGCAGTTTTCTCACTGTAACAGCAACGTTACCTCCCTCCCTCGATGCCCTAATTTCAGCTTCCCCTGAAAAATCAGTTATGCCTGCCCATACAACGCCTGCTCCCTTGCGAGCCAGGTTGCTGCAGAGCAGCTGCCATGCAGCTAGTGCTGGAACTGCTTTGCTATTCCTCAAGCTGGAGCCTGAAGTAGAAGAGTACATCCCTAGGGATACACCTTATAGTTGCTACTTAGCACCAAGTTTATTTCAATTTTTAATGAAATATGGCATGAAAATGGGAAAACCCTGACCTTTCTGGTAAGGCAACATTTTAAAGCCAAAATGTGAAGTGCACAACTCAAAGAAAGGAAATCGACCATCATCACACAAGCTGGTATTTTTAAGCAGGAGACCCATGACTTTGAATACTACTGCCTCTGACTCAGGCCAAAGCAGTACAATCCATCCTTTAGAAGCAAAGCTCTTCTAGTTTTAAGAAAATTTTTAATTTCTACAAAGTACCCATGCTGCAGAAGCTTTGAGAGACACAGACAACCAAACCCATCCCTCCGTGCAAGACTTCCACTTCATGGCAGGCTGTTTGCATTCGCCAGCCCCCTTCTCCCTGTCCCAGGCTGTAACAGGCACTCGAGCGGGTCTCCCACGCCGAGGGGTCCCACGCCCAGCCCCAGCCAAGGGGCTCGCTGGCTGCCCAAGGCACAGCTCCAGCCCACAGTGCGTTTGCTGCAGGCAGCCGCTTTCCTGGCAGCTGCTGGAGGCTCCCACCCGAACGCTGCTGCAACGGAGCTTTTTACGAGCCGACAAAGTCAAGTCCCCTTCCTTTTGCAAACTGCAGTCAGGAGTTTCTGCCTCACCCTGCTCCTTTGGTGCGGGTAGAGGGGGCAGGCTTTGAACAGCCCGACAGCCTGCCGCAAACCGGCCGTGCGGGCTGCCCGCAGCGACCGCCTGCACCGCAGCAGGGTGCTGCTAACGCAACGCAGCTCAACACAAGACAAAGGAACTGGGCTGTTTTACAGTCAGAAATCTAGTACCAGGCTCCAGGAAATTAACAGGAGACTTAGGTCAGCAGGTGACCAAAAAGCATGGGGTGGGTGGGACGGGAACTGGACAAAACAAACAAAACCAAAGCCCACAAATCCACATCTAAGAGGAGAAGCATACTGAGTCTAAAATTAGTCTCCTGGTTAGGAAAATCTTAGGCCATACCTTCATCAAAAGGACAGATCATACAAGGTCAAGCTGCACGTTCTTTAAGGACGTGCGTGTCTCACAACGTCTGCATCTGGCACCTCCAGTAATGTGCTCTCTACAACAATTATACCACTTCTGGTGCTGCATGTACTTGACAAACAAGATGAACCCCCATCTTCTGGGTATTTGAGGAAGACAGACTTCAGTATCTGCCTCAAACATCTTTGATACACTTTTGATTTTGTCTAGTGACAAGACAGTAGGGCCCAGTTATCAGACAGCATGGCCAGGACTTCATAACCACACTTCCAGCAACAGGAAAAGGCAGCCGAAAGAGCACGAGAGCACTACAGTTTTGTTGTTGCTTTTTTTGATTGGTTGAGGTTTTCTTAATACAAGGTCAAGAAGGAGACAGAAATAGGGCTTGCCTTCTATACTGACAGCTATAAATCAGGATGGTCAGCAGCACAGGAAGCATGTATCCAGACAAACCCAATTAAATACCAACAAATAATTGTCATGTTCTGCAAGTATTTTTCTGAGGCATTTCCTCTACAACTTGTTATGCATGATTATCAGCTTTCATGAGTGAATTAGCAAACATTAAGTTAAAAACTTAAAAGAACAGACCACAGTCCAAAGTAGCTCTGCTAGTCTGGATTCTTCATATTACGTTCAGGTAACAGAAAAGACAAAGGGAGGAAAACAAATCACTGATCTGTAATATGAAGTGTTCTTGGAAGTAACCATCAGTGAAGATAAAGCCTTGAGCTGTAGGAACAGTACCAAACCCCACTGAGCTACTAAGAGACTCTTTCTAGAGTGAAAAGTCTGGAATGAGAGGCTAAGAACTGAAGCAGATTTGTCTTGTTTCTAGCAGAATCTGTAGTAACCAGGCTTGTTACAAAAACAGCTAAGTGAGCTGGAAGCCATCCATTCTATGAGAACCCGCTCATATCAAGTCAGAAAGTGCATCAGCAGCACGGTCCTGTGAGCAGAAATAAAACCAGCCGCAGGTAAACGTACCCAGCAACCCCGTTCACCACCGGTTCTTTCAAGTGCCAGTTTTCACTCTGCAACCCACAAGTGCATACAAGAGCTACTGTTTGTTTGGAAGCCGAGACACACATGGCCACACAGCTGCACTTGAAATTCATTGCTAGGATGCCAAGACTCCAGAACAGCAACAACAGAAACATACATTTCCATATCCTATTTCATCCATTTCTACAAGTTTTTCTAAACAGTACTAAGTTTAAACAATACCAGCCCTCGGGAAAAAACCCACTGATGTCTATTATTTTTAAACTGTAGGCACTATATGACGCTGCTCCCCTCTAAACTGCAGCTCACATACTTGTGTTTTAAAGGACAAAACCGCAGCTTTTACCCAAATACAGAGAGAGGAAAAGAACTGATATTTCTAAACCACCATGAACTCCTCTGTTACCAGTAACTTATGTAAAATTTTAATATGCAAGTCATGAGGTAATTATACAGCGCTGGAAGACATACTGCATCTAGGCCTGAAGAGCCATGGGATTTAATTTACCTTTACAAGTGAGATTCAACAGTCGGATTCAGTGCAGCAGAAGACAGATAATGACCTCTTATGTCCAGAAAACATCACGTACTCCAGATTAGTTAGCCTGTGTGGAAGAGCTTTTAGCACTCCAAAATAAATTAATGCTTTCCTTGTGCCCACAACATGTCCAACTGAATGTGAGCTTTAAGGAGACTGGGAATCACATGAAGGAAAACTTTACTCCATGCAAGAGGGCATACCAATGGCTAAGAATACGTAGGGATATAAACTAACATTCACAGTCAACTTCAGCCCCAAGTTGCTTGCTGCTGACAATGCAACACAGACCTCCAGCTGCGTCTGACGTCCTAATACAGCTGAAGTATAAAATGAAGGCTTGCACTCAAAGACAAAACACACCATGCATCTTTACTGAAGCTGTCACATTCTGTCCTGCAAAGGGCTGATGACTTCTTTCCCTGTATCCCTGCAATGATAAGACTATTTAAATAAACACTGAAAGGCCAAGTTTCATATTGAGGGTAAGACAGGTCCACTTTCAAGACAAGAAATGGCAAATCAAGTTGGTAAAATATTTAATAGAGCAGTTTCCCAGCAGACTCCTGACCAGAATCATAACCATACTTCTAAAAAGTATATATATTTTTAGATCTGAAAATTTGTCTTTATTTTTTACAAAATGGATTCCAGGAAGTTTAAAAGGCAATATCATAGAGGACTTGGGCGCAGAAATCAGGTGTAGTCATTCAAAGCATTCAAGTAGGAATATGGTAATATAAATATTTGAAAAGCATCTTTTATCATAAATGTTCAAACCAAAATGTATAACTCATTCCAAACTAAAAACTGAGCTTCATAGCACATATTTCCCTGAACAGAAAAAAATTAAGTAACTTTTGAAATACTTCTAAAGGCCTGAAAGCTTTTTCCTTGGTTAGTTACATTAGAAGACTTGCCTTTGATTAAATTCCTTCCTTTCCAAATATGGAAAGTAATACATCAGTCCACTGTTAAAACAGACAATATGTTGCAAATTATTTCTGGTATAGTATGTTCCAACAAAGCCTAGAGTATAAAGGTGCTGAGGTGGCTTTGAGTTTAGTAGTCATCTCCTCTGCTGACGACCTCCTTGCACGTTGGGCGCAGCAGTATAGTGTGCTCAAACTGTGCTGTGTAGGAGCCTTTAATGTCGCACAAGGGCGGATACGGATCCACTATACCCAAGTCGCACAGGTTCTTCAACGCCATTAGGTATTTACTCTCTCCCAGGCGATCCAGCCATCTGCGGCAGAAGGCAAGAGTACCAAAGTTTTCATTGATAACATTTAGCAAGTGTTTTGCTCTTGGAAGCCTGAAGAAAAAAGAAGAAGATGTTTGAGAAGAGGGAGGTATCACCAGCAAGCATTCACTGCGGAAATAAGCCACACCAATTAAGAAAAGGGTTAGATTTCAAGGTATTTTAAGACTGCCCAGTCTCGGGATGTCTTTCTACATCAGTCAGGTGTTCTGTTCACAAAAGAAAGTGCATTTTCCTCCTGCAAAAAGATATCCTTCAAAGCAGATCTCAACGCTGCCAAACACCCTGGTCATCCATCTCATACACGGGAAGTTATAGATGGTGAACATGTCTGCATCTAACTACGGAAGCAAAACTAAATGCAGTGACAGGAATTATTCTCTTATGTAATAAAAGGATGATTAATTTTATAAAGAAAAGCAGAATTCTTCCTGATACAAAGTGGTTAATAATCTGAACTAACTTATGTGTAAGCTTGGTATTTTAAAACACTGAAGTTTAACTTCTGAAGTAAAATACTTGGTAAGCTTTTTATTCATACTTCTTACGATACATAAACATAAAAATAGGAGATTTATAGATCTGCTAAGAAATAAACTTATTCCCAAACACAAGCAGTTCCTTTCCAACCCTTAGGCTAATTCTGCCTGCCTCGCCCCACACCTTTTTCATAGTACCAGTCTGTTCTATGGGAACAGAATAGAACTATCTGGAAAAGCATGTCTGCCTTCTATGTTTCTAACAATAACAGCCTTCACTTCAGAAAATATGTTGTACTCCTAGAAATGCCAAAATGCAATCCCAGTGAAAACTGAAAATTAATAAACTATTTCATTTTATACCAATATGCTGAAACAAGAACTTAAACCCTCAAAATACCCATACAAACAAAACAGATGACATGAATAGCTTGATATATTCTGGGAACATAATACAGATGCTGATTTAAAAAAAAAAACAAAAAAACAAAAAACAAAACCCATGACATTTAATATACAGAGTAATATAAAAACATAATCTATATATTATTAATTATTTAAAAAATTACTAATGATAGGAAGATTGTTAAAAAACAGTATAGATTCCTGAAGGCATAATAATGTATTTTCTCCATTTCCAGATTCTTTGGAATAGTTCCATATTGTTCCAGATTCACAATCAGAGCATATTTCACAACAAGAACATTGCTAACACCACCCTTGGAGTCCCCTGACAGCCTTATTAATAGTGAAGAACCTGCACTGTATCAAATTTGAACCCTAAGAGGGTGGTAGCTCTAGCACAACATATCAACAAAAAACAACAATAAAATCCAACCTTATTGGCACATGCCCAACATCAAAGTTCTTCATGTAATGAGAACACTCCATATCGTCATGAACAACGCCTTTTCCCGTGCTCCCGAAGGTTTCTATAGCATAAACTTCACCTTCCTAAGGACAGAAAAAAAAAGGGAACATTTTACACCATGAAAATAAGTGACATTCGGCCATTCTGATATAACGATCTCAGCATAACAACTTCTGAATACAAGTAATTAAATGTGAATAGATTCAGTCACCAAAGCAATGCAGAGAAAAACTCAATACGGAGAATTCACAAGTAAAGTTACAGACATCTCCAAATCATCAGCTATTCATGTCAGTACCATTTTACTTGTTTCAAGCCATACACATCAGCACGTTTCTAGTCACAATTTCTCAAAGTCACTCCAATTAAAACATTGTCTAATATAACTAAGAAACTACATTCTGCTTGCAAAACATTTGCTAACTGGAAGCAATTCTCCTCTGCTATTCAGATAGAAGTCCTAGGAAATATATAGTTTAGACATAGCAAGTAGATGTTGATTACAGAGACTTACTGCACTGAAGAACTTTCTGCCCAATTTCTGCAAGAATTTTCTCGTAACAGCTGCTAGTATAAACCCTTAACCTGCTCATTTCCACTCCACAAGATGAATTTCTTCAAGAAATGAAGGTGACATATATCTGCAAGGGCATTATCAAAATTCTAGCCAAGAACATACTGAAATGCCATTATATAAACTCATTTCTGCCAAGTGCATTCACATATCCTTAACAGTAGGGCTGTGAGAGGGACTTAAGACAGTGCATCAAACATTAACGGACCATGGGAGCTGGGTTGTTGTTTATTAAGCTACTTTGAAAGTCACAACCCAAAAATAAGAAGCCATAAGGAAAGAAGTAACACAGCCTTCAAATTCAAGACAAACTCTTATTAAAGATGCTCCTGAATATTCAATTGATTTCATTTAACAAAACAAAACACAAAACCACAAGAACCCACACACAATGCCACAAAAAAATTCACTTTACACCCACTTTTTCAGAATAAGGATCATCAGAGGCTATACTTCTCTCGGTCACAAAAAACCTCATAGGACTGCAGTTTGATACAATAATTAGCACAGCACAGGAAGCGGTTGGCTACATTCCTCACTGTCAAAACTCACTGTCTTTAACGATGTAGGATTGTGTCCTAAGTAACCTACAGAAGTTGAAGAAATTTAAAAATGTCTTCTCCCCAGTGTCTGGATACTCAATTAAAACAATCTCAAAGCTCTGAAATCTTTAAGTAAGATTTGCTTAAAGAACACTTAAGTTTTATGCTAGTAAATACTGCTGATGGTTGATAGACAAGACATGACCATTCACTAAGCTAAAACAAGAAGGGCACACAAGCCTTTTCTACCTTTCTTTTCCAATACTCTTTAATCCCTTTGCACACTCCTATAGATAAGATGATAGTTAAAACTTTGTCTTTATGCTCACATCATTAACAAGGGGATCAACAATTATGATACAAGTTTTGGGTGATGAGAATGAGCCTACCGGAAAAAACAATCCTGTCCAGATTACACCTGTCCCTATTCTGCTCTTACAAGTCTTATTTACTCTGATAGGCTTACTAGTGATCAGGCTTAGAATGAAATTAAAACCTTCTTATCTCATTACCAATAAGCCTTCTTATCTTGTTAGAACACAAGCTTACCTCAAAATGGTGGCTAAATCTCAGGTTACATATTTTAATACTGCCTTTCCAATTGGTATACTTTGTCACATCATGTACAGCAATTTCTCTTCCTCTGCTCCAAAACGCTATTCAAATAACATCTTTTATTTAACCTCTCACATTAACTAGAAATATTCTTAATTACTTTGTATTTGAAAAAAAAACAAAAAAACCCAAAAACCAAACAAACCAAACCTGCACTGGAAGCTTTTCAGAAAGCTTTTCAGTAATATATAACTGTACTTGCAAAAAGTCATCCAAAGCTACAACACTACAGAAATACTTCTCAAGAACTACCTGAGCAAGAGAAGATTGTTATTTTGTCTTTTTAACTACGTAGTGAAAAAACAAGGAAAGTATGAATGACTGGCAAGTAGAAACACCTTTCAGGAAAACTGTCGTCCCTCAAGTTCACCCCAAAAATCTGAATTCCTGTCCTTTTCCTTGCTCCTAAGTGCAACATTCCTGAACACAACATTCCAACACTGCATTTAAGTAACATATACACATTGAGAAATAAATATGCAAGAGCTTCCATAAGCATCATTAGGGTCATTCAGATTTCAAGGGATTTTTTTTTTGTTGTTTGGTGGGTTTGGTTTGTTTTAATTTTTAAATAGCAGGGTTCCAAGGCTTCAATTTCAGAAAGCTTAAGATACTAGAACACTCCAGGGCTAAAGGGAGAAGCCACTGAGAAGAAAGAAGAGTGATCATTCCTTTACAGGAACACTACAAAGTACAGCAAAGTTTTTCCTCTGCTGCTGTTATCCACCAGGATCACAAACGCTACACATTAGGACTGCACAGGAAATATTACCCTTGCAGTGACAGCTGGGGAAACTTAACAGAAAGATTTAAGAACTACATTTACCTCCATTCTTGTGGCTTCTCCTCCTTTCACAATGGGCACCGTTTTTCCAGCATGTATCCTATATGGCCCAATCGAGTGTCCATTCAAATTGCGAATTGGTTTCACTTTTGAAGAAAACATTAATATTACAGACAATTTCCTAACATGTTAAACCCTTTAGAGCAATTTGGTTTGTTAGCCCATACTGAAAGTACAATAGTGACTCATCATACTGCAGAGAAACTAAACACAAAGCTATTCACACATCCTGAACAAATTCCAGTCAAGACACAAGTTAGTTTTGTGTGCTGTATCAAAACTTCATTATTAAGGGCTAGCAAGTCCAACAGTAACTAAGTTTATTAATGCAGGTATCAAATAATCTGTACATTCTGAAACAGTTGTTTAGCCTTCATCCTATTACAGAATGGTGGGGATTGGAAGGGACCTCAGGAGATCATCCAGTCCAACCCCCCTGCCAAAGCAGGTTCCCTACAGCAGGTTGCACAGGAAAGTGTCCAGGCGGGTTTTGAATGTCTCCAGAGATGGAGACTCCAAAACCTCTCTGGACAGCCTGTCCCAGTGCTCTGGCACCCACATTACTGCATCTATCAGTGAGGGAGACTCTATTGGCCTACCATCAAACAAGGTACCATCCTCATTAATACTGACTTCTGCCTCTACATACTGCAAACCTTTCTGGATGATGGAAATCAAAGCAGCTGGTGGCACCAGAGCACCATTTATATTAGACTGGCTGATATGGCTCTCTATACCAAAGGTAAACGCTGAATGGGAAAACCCTGACTCTTGCAAGTATCTCTATACCAGGAAGTTAACCTCATCACTGCTTATACTCATCTTTATTCCCAGTTAAACCATGAGGTCACAACAAAGGACACAACCCAGAAAACTCTCTGAAACCCCACAAAATTGAGATGTGGCAGCAGTACAGCCCTTGGTATCAGGCCACCATTGGCAGAGCATTGATGTGTGGAAGTTCAGGTGCCTCTTGCCACAGAAGGGTGATGCTTGTGAGCTGAGCGGCAGCAGAGCCGCTGCTCCCCTCTTCCTTGGGAATGGAGGCACAAGCAACTCACCCCTGTTTGTCTCTCCTCACCCCCCCCTTTTTTTTTAATCTGTTAAAGATACAACACTTGAAAGGATAAGCCAAGAACATTCCTCCAGAGGAATGGCAAGCCAGCTGGGAACATGTATTTATGCAAGTCACTCATACTGTACTTCTACTACAGAGGTCTTTTTTAATATGATACAAATAAATCAATATTTGTACACATATATATACTCTAAGAGCAACTATCCTTACAGAAAGAAAAGAACTTGCCTTGGTATGTTTTGCCATCAATTTCAACCTCATAAGACTCCATAACTTCTTGTATGGCCTCCCCTACATCACAGAGACGTACATCTATTCCAGCACACTGAAAATAAAATACAAATATAAATGGAAAATAATTGCAAAGTTTCCTGTAAAAGACTTGGTAAATAACCTGCAAAATGATCATACCTTTATTCCAGTATTCGTGGCATCCTTTACAGCTTGTAATAATCTGTCATATTTTGGATTGAACGTGACTGTAAAAGCACAGTCAATAATACGACCTGAAATCAGCAGAAGTTAATTAGCTTCACAGTCTTTGCACTGAAGAATGTTCTCAAAGTTTTAATTCATAAATTAAAAACTAACCACTAATATGTGTCCCAAAATCTATTTTGCAAATATCATCGTACTGCAGGACTGTTGGGTCGCCAGCATTGGGAGTGTAGTGGGCGGCACAATTATTCAGAGAGCACCCAGTAGGAAATGCAAGACCCGCATTTAAACCATTTTCCTTTATCAGCTTACGTGAGCAGTCTTCTAGTTTTTCACTAAAAGGCAGAGGGGAGGGAGAAGAAAAAAAAAAAAGAACATAACAGTTATCATTGATATTTCCTATGATGACTTCAGATAAATCAATGGAAGAACAAAACCTCAGAAAAATATTCAAGCAAATGTTTTAATATGAAATCTTAAAACTACTTGTATGCTGACTAGAAGGAGACCCTAGACTGGAAAACATAAGTGCTACATGACAAACCTCAGTTCTTTGTTGTTTCTTCTATACTTCTTGAGAAAAACTGAGTACTTATTTTACTCTAAAATTAAAAAATCCATCCTTTACAAGCTATATTTAAGTCATTCTTCCTGAACAGCAGAGGTTATACAACTAAAGTTTAGGCAAATTAAATGCATTCTTTACAGTTACTGGGATTTAAAAGAAAATAAATAAATAAAGAAAAAAGGCAATAGTATAGACCTGTCATTTATTAAAAAAAAAAAAAATCTAATTAAAGGACAATTTTATTTTTTTTTAAATTTAAGTGATAACTGTGATAAAATAAAACCTTATGAGACTAGCATTTATTCTTGGTTTTTGCCTCCTCTCAAGCTGTTAGCTACTGGAAAGCTACAGATACATGTCCACCAGTGCATATTCCTCTAGTGGCAGTGAATAATGTAAAGTGCACCTCACACCAGTGCTCCATACTCTAATTTTATTTAAGGAAGCTATTCACCCAGAGCAATCTGGAAAAAGAGAGAGCTTATTTTAATCGGCAAGGCTGCAGAGCCTGAGGTACTTTTGGAAGAAAAGTAATGTTTTGATAAAATTATTGCTTATAACAGCCAAACTGTATAATTCAATATGACAGATTTGTTTCAGCCAGACTAGTGATTATTAAAGCACCTGTCTTCCACTTTCCCTAATGGTATATTATTTCTTTCCGTTACCCTCACACAGTTACCTTCAGGATCACCTCTGATTAGCTTTCTTACTATCCTACTCTTGTCAGCACAGTCCTCAGTCACACAAGGCTGAAAGCACCTGATTTTGGAAGCTAAACTGTCCTGGACAAGTGCAGTACTTGGACAGTAGACATTCACTCCAGATAAACTGAAGGACAGAAAAAGGAATAGTTGGAAAAGAGAATCGCTCCAGGCTAATTATTTCTTTAAACTTTACCTTAATCAAACTTAGGTTTATCTTAAGAAATAACTGAGCAAATGGATTATCAACTAAGAACACAACAAAGAGACATTGTGTTTCTCCAGAATCATCAGTCAGTGAAAACTAAATATAGACAAAATCTTCCTGCCCTGGACTGAATACAGAGCCATGCTGGTTTTATGCCTCCTGGTCCACTCCCCGCCTCAGGCTGCACCTGCAGTGCTCATCCACACAGCATTTCACTGACAATTTTGCAAAACCCAGGATGTTTACTACCGCTGCTTCTCTCAACAAGGTTTTCAGAACTTATGTGCAAGGGTAGCAAGGGCACAGAACATTACAATCAAGCACATGCTCAAAATAAGTAAACATAACTGAAAGCTTAGTGTGAAATCCAGTATGATCCCAAGCCCTGTAAAGCTGCATAAGCTCAGAATATGTTACAAGAGGAAACGTAAAGGAAATAATTTGGGATACTGGTTGCGTACTTCAAACAGAAATCCCCCCAACACTCAAGACACAGTCAATTAAACACACAAAATTGAGATTAAATCCCTCCCCCACTAGAGACAGAAGAAAAATCTACAGCAGAGGTCTCTGAGAAGATCTGTGTCCTCACCAGATTTCTATCATTGTCATTCCAGGTTTTATCCAGCTCATAACGTATTTCCTCACTTGTCTGTGTGCCTCTGCAGCCTCTCGAAAATCATTCCAGATTTCCTCACTGGCTTGGTCTAGTGCTTTCTTTTCTTCACTAGTTGTTCTCCAAGCAGCAGTTCGCCTTCAAAATAAAGTATGTCATGAAAAGTTACTATAATCACAGTAGTCATTACAACCTCTAAAGCCTGCACAGTGTGTACTGACCAGTCAGGTCTACATTCCCCTGTGCAACAGAAAAGATCCTGATTTATACAATTTTCAAAATAAAGGAAGCCTATTAAAAAAAACCCAAAAAAACCAACAAACCACAAAAATCAATCAGCACCACAGACTGGCACCTGTGAAAGGCAGTAACATTGCAGCAAAAAAACCCAATCATGTATACACAGAAATTAAACTCCGTCAGAGTGAACCATATTATTCCCTTTACATGTTGAAAAGCCTTACTTCCCAACCTTCCCAAAAGCCCAGAGCAGCAGTGTGATTGAAGGATACACAATACTTTTCAAAAAGACAGAACAGGCATGTAAAATCTGCCTGCAGTTCTACCTTGAGTTTAGCAGGGCAAATCACTGCAACATGCTCTGCTCAGGCAAAAATTTTATTTTTTGCAGTCTTACTCATTTGGGCAGTGCCCCTCCTGTAAGGAGGAGAATCTCAGCACTGTAGTGTAGCTACTTGGTCCAGAAACTGTTACTGACACAGAGAAAATAAGCTACTTCAAAATTTAAGAGCTTGCAGTTCCAGTATTACTTGCACTCGTCCTCAGAATATTTAGCTAATAACACCTAACACAGCACATAGTAACTATGACACATGCCAGGAAGTTACTTCCTAAATTTGCTGGATGGCAAATTAACATTTGTTCCCGGAGAATACCACTCATTTTGGCTCTTAGGTAGGTTCATAAAACAAATATAAGAATAATTTTCAATAAAAGACTAAATACAAGATTAGTTTTGAATATTTTTTTTTATTATGCAAGAAACCATACAACTAAGGTTCCAAGAAGGCAAATAAACAAACAAGAATAGTAATTTAAGCACTCTGGCAACTGCTAGAACTTAACTAAAAGATTACTCTCTTGACTGCAAAGTAGAAATACCCATCAAACAGTGAAGCTGGAGCCCTGTAAGGATGCAAAAACCCCTAGTGGTAACTCAAGGTGCGTCACAAAAGAAAAGGGATGATGGACAAGACGAACCGAAGATGATGAACTATGTCAGTTTCCAAATGTAGAAATTAACTTTTACCTTTATGTAAGTGAGCTGATTTTAAGCAAACAACTCAATAGGACTACTTTTTGAATTCCAAAGGTGTAGCTACTTGCCTGTTTCACAGACATGCACCTTGGTTCCACTCCAAGAGTTTGGCCTTCGCAGCCACAAAATAGGTATGAGTGAGCCAAGAGACTGTGCCCGACACTTCTGCTGCGTTTTGAACGGAGTATTTATACAGTGTTAAGAGGCCTGTGATCCTAAAGCTGAGTTGAAAAGATAAAAGAGGACAACAGGCTATCCTATAAATTTTTTCTCAGGCTGATCAGAGGACCCAAATATTTTGAGATCCTTTTGCTTGTTTTCCTTAAACTTCCTGCTCCTTTTCAGATAAATAACAACGGTGCAAAGGAGAAAACCCATGCTTGCTATTCTCAACATTTTTCTTGCTCCAAAAGCAAGCATAGTACTCTTTGAAATTGCCAAAACACTGGTAAATTCCATTTAAAAAAAAAAAAGAGGCTGCAACACCTGAGCCCCCTTATTGCACTTGGAAATTGGATTACTGCCAGCACAGCAGTCATGGCATAAGTAGATGAAAAAGGTGTACTGCAGAAAAATAAGGTGGAGAGGGACTTGAGGATACTTTCAGACCGCTCTGGATTCCAGCAGGGAACACCCTCTGGTAGCAGGAGCTGCTGACAAGACTCTCAGCAGCTGCTCTGCCATCACTCACAGACTTAAGTGCAAACTCCAGCATCTTCACTCTATCCAACTGCATTTCAGCATATAGTCACTCCATGCCAGACAACTGGGGGACAAAATAGCATCTACGTTTAAGATTACTGTATGAGACTCAAAGCATTTTGCTGCTACAGCTGCGCCACTGCCACCTGGGAGCTCAGGAAAGGAGGTGACAAGAAATCCTGCCTGGGCCTCAGCACTTCAGGACATGTGCAAAATGAATTGATCAGATAAAGGTCTCACACCAAACATCAAGTCCTCCGACAGGTACACAAGCTAACAAGCTCTTCCAAGGACAGGTTCCCAATGTGGTGGCTACCACATAAGTCAGCTTAAGAAGTTCACCTCTTGCTCCAAACCATTTCTTCTCACCTTTTCATTCCAGTTCACAGCTCCCAGTTTTCATGAGTACAACTCTTTATTGGATTGTGCTGTAAACTAGATTTTAGTGATCAAAGATACGAACTCCAGATAATTCCTGCAAATTATTCTAAGCCAGATAACAGCACTGGGACAGAAACAAGCAGGCAGGGACAGGAATTCCTTAATCCCACTTTTAACAAAATCAGCGTATCATGAAATACTGCTTATAGTTTTTCCACCCTCCCTGTCCCATAATTTCAAATTCCAGTGTCTTCAACAAAAAACACAAGCTTTCAAACAGAATCACAGAATCACAGAATGTTAGGGATTAGAAGGGACCTCAAAAGATCGTACCTGAGGTACAGAAATATCAAAGCTGCTAGTCTGTCATCTATTTAATAATTTATTCTTTGCTATTTTTCCCCCCTGAAAATTGAACGATACCCACTTCTAGTTCAACTTCCTGCACAAAATACACAATTCTAGGTTGATGAGGGGTAACTTTAGAAAGCATGTGACATCAAGAGTTAAGAATAGAAGTGCAACTCTTTAAAAAAAAAAAAAGAAAGACAAAACCCTACTAACCTCAGCATGAATAAGAGAAGCAGCACAAAAATGCTTCACCAGTATATAAAATGAAACTATTATTCAGAATAGGAAACACCCTAGCATTCATGTCAGCTACTAATTTAAGTATCAGCTTACGTTAGGAACTGCTAAGTAGCATCATAAGAGTTAAATATTTAAATCAGGAACAAAACTAAGCACGTATTTGCTTAAGTAAATGATATAAAGAAACTACTTCAGATTCCTTAGAAAAGCACAGTCTTCTTCCAAATCAGAACATTCTTGGTACAGAAAAGATGCCCCACTTGAATCCTGTTAGGAAAGGCGGTTTGTTCTTGTTTTGTGGTTGCTTTCCCCCCCCCCATCAAAGGAACGGTAGCAAATCCAGAGTAAAACATTTAATATTCAATATCTGGATATGTAACAAAGTAAAATAGAGTGTCAGTTGTTAATACACTATGAACATGCTAGAAGTTTACAGTCTAATTCCTGGATTGCTTAAATCGTGTCCTTCTGAAGCATATGCAGACAAACAGTTCTTAAGCATGAAAGAATCACTCCTGGATCAGCCCATCAGGATTACCTTGTGAAAGTCCTTCATGCTAATATTGTGCACACAAACAAGGCAGTCATTTATAAATAAATATTAGCATACCTTGTGATCAAATTGAAGCCACTAAAAAGAAGAAAAGGCTTCTTCAAAACCAATTTCAATCTCGTAAAAATGAAACTCTATTATCTGTGAATATCTGAACACAATTAATATGACATGCGAGACTCTTAATTATGTTGCTTACACTCTGTGAGAAACAGGCATTGACTTTAAACAACCAATAAATGTTTCAAAGTAATTTGATATTGAAAAAAAAAAAGTAATTGAAAACTAAACAATGCATTCAGAAACATAAATATTTATCTACTCCCCACTCCCTTTGGATTAACCTATTTTTTTTTCAAAGTTTTGATTCAAAATTTCCTGGTAAGTTTTCAGTAACACTTGGTCTTTTCATTCAGATTTTCATGCAATTCAAGCTGATTCCACAGCCCTCCCCATACGAGTAAAATGTGACCTTCCACAGCACTTCACATAGGAAAAATCAGGAAACTCAGTCAGGCTGGTATATCCTAGCTCCCAGCAAAGCAGAAGGAAATAGCAGTATCCTATGAAAACATAAGGCTGCAGATCTCTGTTCCAGTAAACCACTAGAAGCTGCTGCTTCTTTCATAAAACTGCACCTTATTGCCACAACACTATGAATTATAAAAAAGTTTAGGTTACAATTATATATTAATGCAGACAAAGACAAGCAAAGTGCAGAATACACCACTTAAACTTTTAAATTAAACTGTCTCGTACTCTGAAATCAACGTGTCTCTAACAAAAAAGAAATAAATAAAAATAACAAGAAGTTGACAACCAGACACCCTCAAAACTGCTGATCAGTGGCTCATCTCCCTAAATTTTAAACGTTCACTCAGTTCTAATTCAGACTACACTTTTCTTACAAGCTGCCTATTGAAATCCTGTTGGTCCCCTGGGTCTCAAGGTCCCCTGTTTCAGGGCAACTCTGCTCATACAGGCTATACTTTAATTAAAAGGGTATGGAAGGAGGACCATTTCTGGCCTGAAGATTTCTATTCATTAAGTTCTTAGATGATCCAGTTTAAAAAAAGAAGGAAAAAAAGCGCTTTACAATTCACTATGTCCATTTAATTGCGCATTAATGACTCTGCAATTCAGCACATCCAGATGACAGCATTTACTTTTTAACTTTAAAATACTCACCCATCTTGTGTTGGTGGGTATTCACATTCTTCTCCTTTCGGGAATACGTTGCTGGGAAATAGCTCACATATTGGAATAGAAGGTGGATCTGTCTGGACCTTAGCTGTTGAGCATAATTTAAGAAAGTTTTACATAAGGTACACTGGAAATACTAATTATCTTATTTCAACCAGGAAAGTTAAATGGCACAAGTTATTTAAAATCCCCTTACTAGAATTTGGGCTTCTACCAAGGAAACATACCATGATGCCCTCATATGACTTTATTTGGCCAATGCTCATGGTGGCATTCAGGGACATCAGAAAGAAGAAAACTCAGCCAGACTTAGCCTACAAACCCAAACTGCACTCCAAAATTTGTTTCAACTGCCAAGAACAGCATGTACATAGACTTAACCAAATATTCATGCAGTGTCCATCTTTATTTTTGTGCTTGATACCTACGTCCTTTCTTCTTTTTCTTCTTCTTCTTCTTTTTCCCTGTTGCTCCATCTCCTTCGCCCTCTCCATCTACAGGAAAGAAAGTGCTCAGGTGAACATAAAATAACCTTAAAGAACCAAAAAATTTTGAATGAGACACAAAACCATCTGGACTACCTGAAACATTTCTTTCACAGTAGAATTTAGTGGATTAAAAGAAGACAACTAGAAGCTGCCACCAAACCATTAGCATTTTCAGCACCTACACCAAACACACACCAAAAAAACCCACAACTTTCTAAAGTTGATGACTTAAACATATCACCAAACAGAGAAAAAAAAAAAAAGCAGCTCAGGGAAAGTTTTCAGAAAGTCCTACTTCAAATTCCTCTATTCTTAATTCACCCAAAAAGATATCTGGGGTTGGGGGAGGGTATAAGAGAGAACTGTATTAGACATAACAGATAACAAAAGGCTAGGAACTACTGCTTCAAACCCATCTTCTGATGCTTCAGCTAAAGGAACTTAATGCATCTGGAAAGATACAAAAACCCAAACAAGTAAAGATGACAGAACTTTGGTCAGGATGAGCTTAATCTGGAGATAAAAGGGAAAGTCACAACCATCACGGATCAAAAACAGTGTGAGTGGGGACGTACCAGTGGGAGGTTTTCAAGGAGCACAGTATGTAAGCACCAAGAATTGGCCACAACATGTTACAGTCACATTAGGGAGTTGTGTGGACTTCACATCTGGCTACATCTGATGCTTAGTAACTTCATACACAATGAAGTACTTATCAAATACGATACCACCTAACTAAACGTTCTGGACTTACCCAGAAGTTCAACTCAAAATGTGTAGGTACTAGTCATCTACATTTAGAACATTTATTTTTATCTAAAGCGATAAGTAAAATTGAAAGAACTTTTAGAATCAAGTCAAAGCACTGCCATTTTGAATGCATTTATACAGAAACTTGCATTTGCTCATTTATTTAAAACAAAAACCAAACCAAACCAAACCACTGAGCAGTTGTTCCAGTCACTAGATTTCAAGCCTCTCATGATAGTCTGTTGTCTGCACTTTTATGCAGCAGTGACTGCTGTAATCCTGCAGCTGGGGCAAATTTCAGCAATGATTATCACCCCCGCCCCTCCCCAGGCAATTTTGGCATCAAGTATCTTATTTTAAATTTTTGTAAACAAATGCAAGTATAAATACTTTGTAACTACAACACAGACCTGACTACCAGATTCTCCATCAATCTGTATTTCATAGGCAGCCGAAAATCTTTAACAGCGCATATAATTTTTTTAAAATGTGGTAAATTTGCCACATTTCTCTTGACCTTGAGCTGTGCTCAAACCATTCATTGAGAAATGAATTAGATGTGGCTCCATTCATCAAGTGATTTTTGGACTTTTTTTTTAAATGCTAGGCCTATACTGCAAAAAAAAAAAAATAACCAATCAAAAAAACCAAACAGCATTTCTTAAACGTTGTCGCTGTTGCTATCTGCTTATTGTGGCTTTTTCATACACCACTGCACATGAATCTGCCAACTGCAAGCCAAGCTAACCGGGCCTATGCCTTCACGTCCTTGAAGACTGCTGCAGACTAACTGTGCTGCCAGAAACACAACTACTGCATCTGACCAATATCCTCTTTGTCTTCAAGTTATTTAGCTAGTAATGAAAAAAATTTTCACCAGAAAAGCAATTTATGATCTTGCAAAAGTGAAGCCCAACCTCATGCCATTTCGGTAGAGCTCTTTAATAACTTAGCCTAATAGAATGCAAAAATGTTACCTATCAGCATGTTTCACCATTGCAATGGAAATCTGGGAAGCACTTTCTAATCTCTCCCAGACTTCAAAGGGTACACAGTCTTATTTCTGAGGCCACTCAGTTATGAGCTTATCAAGGGGGAAAAAAAAAAAAAAGGAGGAGGGAGTAGGTGTTTTATTGGTTTCAATCTAGTGCATCACCATGTCTTAAGCAACACCTCTGAAACTACACAATTAAAGACTGCAAGTGGTTACAACGGGTACAAGTAAGAACACATAGTGGTCTTCAAAAAACTTAGAGCAATTTTTGTTTTTTCTGCAAAAATATTACTGTTTATCTAAAAACACACCCAAGTCTAACAGGTGGAAAAAAGGAAGATTACTGTTTCAGTGACAGCACCACTTCATATTTTTTGTATTGTCTAATACTGTAAAACTAATACTAATTGCTAATATTGTAAAAAGGATAAAAGAGCACAGCACCTGATCTGCAACTAACAATGTTATTTCTCCTGAGATAAAACTACAACTATTCTAATAACTTTCAAATAATTCTTTTCATTGTATAAAGTTTTCACTGTCCTCCTCAACACTTCTCACTTCAGTTGCAGTGATGGCAAAGCACACATTTGTATTAATTATCTTTCAACTCCACAACCTGAAATACACCATAAAACAAATAATCCATCAGAATATAGTTCTATGGAAAGTAACTGCATAAAACTGGATACTATATATAGATTACTAATGTTCAAAGGTAACTTTATTTGTAATTTTATATATCCCAGCACACTTATTCTATTTTTTTTAAACTTCCATACCTTATTTATTAAATTAAATTCTAGAATGAATTCTAGATGAATTCCACCAATAGCCAACTAAGACTATTTCTAAGCAGAACAGTAAGAAACATTTTAGGGTGATAAGCCAGCTTTATATGCTAATTCACATGAAGGAAACTAAATTACTAACTTAAGAAATGTATTTTCCTAAATGTCCATTTCTACTGAGAACCACTTATGAAAACAAATTAAATACATCCCTTCAGAAAAGATGGATCTAGACTGGATTTCAATACTAGACGCTTCCAAGGCACTTGCTTAGAACATCAACTGCATAGCACAAGCAACACACAAAGGTGTATGCCTTACCTGTGTATTAATCTCTCCCCAGTTCAGTTTTAATGAAAAATTGGGATTATAGATGAACAGGTTTCAAGTCACTGGTAAGACTCTAAGATCTTCTATAAATTAAAATTCTCTCTGTATTTTTTGTTCTAAGCCAAGAATAAGAGGCATAATTTGGAACTTAAATTTATACCAACCATGGTAGTGCAAGTCAGAATGATTTATATCTTACCTTATCTTAAACTAGACATTTCCCTTTAACAAAGCTATTATCCCTAGTTTTTTTCTACATTTATGCACATGACAGCTAAATTGTTGCCCAAAAAGTAAAAAAGAATATTTAGTTGCACCTCACCTCTCCCAGGCAGAAACCACAAAGCAAAACAAAAACCCAAAAGGCATCTGTAAAAGGTTTGTTAAAATGGGAGTCTAGGAAGAAAGTAAATGTCAAGAGACAAGGTAATTTACACTTGCCTTCATCATCATCATCTTTGTCTTTCTCCTCCAGTGCTTGCTTATCCAATTGTTTTGCTACATCATCAAGAGCACCTTCCATTTCTTTATCTGTTTCTTGTCCTGTTTATAAAATTGAAGTATGACTTATAGTAAAAGGATAGTTTCACATTAGTAAACAATATCCCCCAAAACTGTATAAAAATGGTGTTGTACTCATCCTACAGATACCAGAGCACATGCTGCCTTCTTCTTTTTTTTTTTTTTTAAGCAGAACCACTGTGTAAGATTGTAAGGCACTATAATGACAGGCACTCTTACTAAAGCTTGTGTATAAAGGTAGCGTTATCCACGCACTTCTGATTACTTTTTTCCTGCCAGGGTAACTAGTTCTTCTTGCCATAGCAGCAGCCTGCTCTTGTGAGATAATATGGGCGTGAAGCACTCAGTTATAAACGCACAGCATGATCATCACTAGCTGCCAGCCTGCTAAAACAAACCCAAACCGTAGCTCCTTTACACTGTTTGCCCAGACTTGCTCTGACTCTCTCAGAGAACCTGGGAGGGGTAGAGAGGCTCCATCGCGCAGAATGACTCTTCCAGCAGCAGCCTTTCCCCCCCCAGGGGATAGGAGGGGATGAGGGAAGGGGTGGCTTCTCCTGCACGCACCGGAGCAGGGAGGACTTCCCTCGCCCCAGCTTCCCTGGTGCCGAACGGCAG